GCACCGCACACGGTTCTGAAAGACACACAGCTGCTTGGTGTGGTGCACGCCCGTCATCACAGCTCTCTGGGAGGCTGAGGCAGGAGGGCTGCAAATTCAAATCCAGTCTCCACAGTTTGGCAAGACTGTCTGAATATTAAAGAAAAAAGATAAGAAGGGCGGGACTGTAGAGGCCCTGGGTCCATCTCCAGCGCCACTAAGGACAGGAAAACAAAACAAGACAAAACAAGAACACAAAAACAGGCGACACAGAAGTGTTTTCCTGCCCACAAGTTTAGTAGGGACAGAGCCACTGGAACCAGAGATCCCCAGATCCACAATCGTCTGTGTTTTCATACCGAGTCTAACAGGGCACATGTGCCCTTGCACAGAAAGCAGAAAGTGGCTTTTCAGAAATCCAATTGAAGCTCAGGGCAGCCACTCAGGATTTCTGAGTTCCGAGCAAGTCCAGTGCAAATCAAAGCCAAAATGCATTTTCCCAAGCTCTCTTGTGTTTTCTGTTGCTGTGAAGGCTTCTCCCTGAGACAGGGATTTCCTGAAAGTCTGCACACAAAGGAAGGTGGGCCCGAGCCCCAGAGCCCCAGCCCTGGACGGTTGACAGCCCGGATGTAAGGACACAGCCACGGAACGGTGCTGCTCCCCTGGCTGGGGGAGGCCACAGGTCACTGCTACACCAGGTGACGGGGACCAGAGGAGGCACCCGGCCCACACCGCCAGCCTCCCAGCATGCAGAGCCACCCGGTTCTTCTCGGTGGGTTAAGGCTTAGTGGGTGGGGACAGGAATGGCGGTGGATGGTGGGAGACGGGGCAGCGGAGGAAAAAGAGGGTTTTTTTCTAAGAAGTAAAATGAAGCTGGGCGTGGCAGGCTCGTCCGTCTTTCCAGCACTCAGGAGGCCGAGGCAGGAGGACCGATTGGACTTTGAGGCCAGCCTGGGCTACTAAGCATTCTCAAGGCCAGCCTACATTAGGGAGATCCAGTCTGAAAAAATTAATAGCAATAATAATAATAATATTAGCCGTTGCAAATCTCAACTGGTGCTTAGTATGGTTAAAAGTTTTTCTGTACACTGCCAGGTAGGTAAAGGTGCCCTGTTACCTGTTCCCCAGTCTCTTAAACTCCTTTATCCTCCTTCCTGAGGGCACTGGGTATTTTTGTTACTGTAAACTTTCATTCTGGTGAAGGGGGATGGTGAGACCAGTATGGGGTAGAATTAAGGGGCTCCCCATTCCGGGTGGGGAAGATTCTTGGATGGCGCGGCGGTGCCCCAGGCCTGTCTCCATTCCAATGCAGTTCCGGATCCTGGCCCTGGGGAGTGGAGAGGACAGAGAGGGGGGTGAGACTGTGTGGGGGAATGCAGTGCCATTTTTTCTTTTTATGGAATCATTTTTTCTTTTTATGGAATCTATGTTTCAGCACTCGGGAGGCTGAGACAGGCGGACTCTGCTAGTTCGAGACCAGGCTGTGCTACGCAGTGAGCTCGAGGCCAGCCTGAACTGCAGAGTGAGACCCTGTTTCAAAATGACAAAGAAATAAAAATAAGAAGTAAAACAAATCAATAGGAGAGATTCCCCAGGACAGTAAAGAGGCGTTTGTTTAAAAGATTTCAGAAGGAGGAAGATTATTATGAAAGCAAAGAGAGATGTGTTACTTTGTATCCTGCTCCTCTCTCGCGGTGTGACTCAGAACTGCCATCCTAGCCTGATGGGCCTGTCCTTCTAGAAAATTCCCTTCCCACTTAGGATCAGGGCCTGACCTGTCTCCGTTCACCGGCCGGCCCTGGGCCCCTTTTGGAGTCTGCCCCAGAACTCCATCATCTGGGTGCTCTGCAGAAGTTTCCAGAAGGCCCTGTGTTTCCATAGTAACCTGCAGCCCCCACTGTGTGCGGAACTCCAGGGCTGCAGTCCCGAGGGACAGGAGCCCCTGCCGGTCCTTCCTCTGCTGGAGTTCAGCATCTGTTTGTCAGTCGACACTGGATGAGGTCCGGGACCTGATCAGCCCCTGTTGAGAGCGCCTGGCAGCTACAGAATAAATGACACGCGTACGGGTCTCTCACATTATAAGGGTTTTTCTTATTTACCCTGTTATTCATCTTTTCTGCCTGAAATGACAGCCTCCTGAGGACATGTCTGATTCTGCTCATCCTCAGCGCTCAGAACAGTGCCTGGGACATAACAGCAGTCCCTTTTCTTTCTGTTGTGTGGGGCAGGATCACCCTGTGTAACCCAGGGTGACCTTGGCTTCGTGGGGATCCGCCTGCCTCAGCCTCCCGAGGCACCACCACACCCATTTAAAACTTATTTGCTGTGTGAATGAAGCGATCTGTTATATCCTAGCTCCTTCCTTTTTCCAATTATGATGAAGGGGGAAACTGAAACTCAAATGACTCAAACCAAAGCGTACTGGTCAGGGGACCTCGGTCTTGTGGGCAATGGTGACACTGCGTCGCGTGCATCACGTGTGGGGTTTGGCCTCAGGCGTCAGGCAGCGCAGCTTGGAGCTGGGACCTCCCTAATGCTCAGGACTACTTATTCAATATTCATTCAACTTACCAAAACTCCTTGAAAACATTCCTGAAAATGCTTGGCATCCCGAGGAATTGCTGAAATAAGAAATCCGTGATCGTAGCTGGTGGTGAGCTCAGGCAAGCCCGTAGCTTGCCTGTCATTCGCAAGGCCCTGGGTTCAATCCCAGCCCTGTCGCCCCAAATTATTTTGCTTTTGTCTTTCTCATCACGCTCAGAGAATTGAGCTCCTGACAGAACTAGCTGGACTTGACCTCAGACAAGGAATTCTCTTGCTTGCCGGCCTGGGGATTGAACCCAGGGCCTTTGCATCTCCAGACCTTTGTCATACTTATTTTGAGAGAGACTCAGTAAGCTGCTGACCTACCCAGGCTGGACTTGAACTCGTGACCTCACAGCGGTGGCCTTCCAGAGGGCTGAGAATCTGATCCTGTGCCACCAGGCCCTGCCCGGGAAGTTTTAAAAAGCTGAAGCACTGGGTTGTAGAACAGAGCAGGGTCCCATCCTGTGCCCGGTGCCACACGCCAGCCAGTGCACTCAGGGCAGAATAGGTGCTCAGTAAACGGTGGATGAGCAGATGAGTCTGGCTCAGCAACAGCCCTGTACGTGAGCTTCATTTACTTGTTTTCAGGGCGAACTGTAGATAGCATTTCCCATGGTGCAAAGTCACAGGGGAGTTTTTCTAGCTTCCGAATTGAACATTGAGGTGGTTGTTTCAACGCTGTGTGAGTATCGTCCTGCCGCGGGTTTGCTCACATGAAGCTGTCCCAGCAGGCAGCTGTGTGGGTAAACTGTGGCCGGGTTTTGGTAATGGAAAAAATAAGGAAAACACTCTTGTCCCTCTGTGTCCGCTGAAGGTTGGTCCCAGAATACCCTCAGACACTGCAGTGGCTGGTAACAGGCGGGCAGCTCAAACACCAGCTGGCTGGGTCAGCGTGGTGCTGGGCATGGACGGCCAGCTGAGGACGGTCGCCAGAATAAAAAGGAGACCGGGTTCTCCTAAGCGTTCCGGTTGTTTGGAGCCCTTGGTTTTCCCAGAGGAGCTGTCACGCCGGCTTCCTGATGTGAACTCTGCTGTTCTCATGGTTGGAGGAGCTCGGGACTCACTGTCCCTGAGGATGGCTGTGGTGCTGTCAGGGGCAGCCCTGGTCCTTACTTTGAGTGTTGATTCCTGATTCCAGTGCAGCCTGCTGGCACAGCTCTTCACCCGATGGCACAGACTTTCTAGTTCCCATCGCTGACCTTGGGGCCTTCCCGGCGCAGATCCGTGAAGCAGACCCGCATGAGTCGTTGTCATGGGCTTCAGGCCTCCAGTTGGACTCATGGGGGCACTGTCATGGGATCTGGGTCTTCAGCTGGACTCAGCAGGACATTGCTGTGGGATTTCCTTGGGTCTTTAGTGTGTGGACAGATTTCCTGCACTTTCCTGTGTTTAACTCCTTGAGCGACCATCATAAAATAATACTACAATGATGTGTCCTGTTTGTAACTGTTCTCCTAGCGGCCCTGACGACAACAGATCCCAAGATCCTCGCCGCTCCAATCCCGTAGGCAGTGCAGTGCAGGATTTGCATAGCATCTTTCTGCTTGCTTTAAATCATCTCTAGGTTACTTAGAATGTCTCGCAAAATGTGCATGTTACAAAAGTAGTCATTGTACTGTGTTGTCCAGGGAAAAATGACTACATATGTTTGATGTTCTCTTCCAAATATATATATGTGTACATGTGTGTACATAACGTGTTCATATATGCATATGTGTATAAACATGTTTATAGAAGAGAGATGTGCACAAAAGAAATTCCAGGAGTTGGCAACAAAATGTCAAAGCAATTAGAAAGTAAGACCCCTCCCCACTCTGAGACAGAGTCTCTGTGTAATTCAGGCTGGCCTTGAACTCACTATGCAGCCCAGGCTGGCCTCCAACCTGAAGTCTTCCTGCCTCAGCTTCCCTAGTGCTGGGACCACAGGCATGTGCCACCCTGCCTGAGGTGGATTTTTCCTTTGTTTGAAGCCGGAGGCCTCTGAGAGCAGGTTTAGGCCCTGGCAGAACAATGGTTTCTGGCCAATGCAGTCCAGGCCAACTAAGTCTCTTTTCTCAGTGTATTGGCTAGCTCTGGCTGTGTAACAAGTAACCCTAAATATGAGTGGCTTACAGCAAACACCTGGGTTTTTTTTGTTTTTGTTTTTTTTTTTTGGCTTTTTGAGATAGGGCCTGGTTATGTAGTTCAGGCTGGCCTCAAACTTGCAATAATCTGCCTGCCTCAGCCTACTGAGTGCTGGGATTACAGATGTGCACCAACATGCCTGGCTATTTATTTATTTAGTGGTGTCAGGAGTTTAATCTCGGGTCTTACACACTAGGCAAGTGCTCAACCACTGAGCATTGTTATCCCCTCCTCTCATTTGTTTATTTACTTATTTATTTAATTTACTTATTTATTTTTTTGACTTTTTCTTTTTTCTTTTTTTTGAGACAGGGCCTCACTGTGTAGCTCAGACTGGCCTCAAACTCACAAAGATCCTCCTGCCTCAGCCTCCCAAGTGCTGGAATTACAGACTTGTACCATGATGAAAAACAGAAAAGAAAAACAAATTTAAAAAAAAACAAGGGTAGTGGCTAAGTGCTTGCCTGGTAAGCACGAGATCCTGAGTTCAATTCCCGGTTCTCCAAAAAATGAAAACACAAGGGTGGGGGAGAAGGATGATAAAAATAATGGGGACAAGCTGGATGTGGTGGGGCCTGTAATCCCAGCCCTCGGGAGGCTGAGGCAGGAGGATCCTTGGGAGTTTGAGACCAGCCTGGGCTACAAAGTGAGCTCAAGACCAGCGTGGACTGCATAGTGAGACCCCGTCTCAAAAAGACAAAAACAAAAAAAATAATGGAGACATGCAACAGAGATAGATCAATGCTCCACCATGAATATAATCATAATGCACCAAAACAGGTGCCAATAAAGAATTAAAAAATTCTCTTAAACTGGTAGGAAGTAAAAAAATAAATAATAGCTTTGATGACAGTTGTTGTGCTTCAGTGATCTTTATACGCTGGGATGAACATGGGGTCCACGATTTTGTACATAAAGCCGGATGCCACACCCTGCCTCTAACAGATGGCGACAGAAGAAGAGCATGAATTCTGTCATCTCAGTAATTGGGAGGCTGAGGCAGGAGGATCGCTGGGTGTTCAGGCCAGTCTGGGCAAGACAGCGAGAAAAGCACGGCAGGAGTATCAGGGAAGCCCGCAGCTGCGACTCCTCAGAGGGTCCTGGGGGAAGGCTGTCACCCGGTGCCTGGATCTTGGATGTTTCCCTCCTGAGAGGTAAGAAATCCCTGCCTGTCATTTAAGCTCCCCCCTGGGCTGTGGTCATTCACAAACCCAGACTAAGGCACGTGTGAGACACTTCCTCACTCCTAAGTCTAACCCCCAGCACCCATCAGAGTGGGCAGAGTTAGTCACAGGGGGTGGGAACCCCACCCGAGGCGAGAAAGTGATTTCACACCACACCAAGTTTTCTCTTTTTTTCCTTATGCAAAAAACCTTTGCACACTTCCGGCCTCAGGGACGGAAAGAGTGAAGGAGCTGCGTGGATTAGCAGGAAACAGCAGAATAGTCAAGAAATAATAAACGAGGTCTTTTTTAAAGCAGGTATGACTCACACGGTCTCCTTTTGAACAACCTAGTTGTTCTTTGGGGCGGGACCATCTCTGCGGTCAATAAAGCCAGGAAACACAATCCCCTGGCCTGGGAAGTCTGCGGTGCCTGCTGGCATTTTTCAAAGGGCTGCCACGGTGAGAGAGAGAAGAAAACCAGTTTGACTGTCCCCAGCCCACCGTCTGCTGTGAAGCTGTGTCCACGACCACAGCTGTGTCCAGCTGTGTCCTGCACCCGGGTCAGGAAAGCTCTTGAGGTCCACAGTCTCCCGCAAACCCCAGCATCACCCTCAGGGGTAACTTCCAGGGACGGGGTGCAGCCAGGTGGGCGGCGGGCTCATTGATTCGCCCTGATTCTTGTGGTGCAGAGCAGATGCAGTCACTAAGGGCTGGAGACCTGGTGAAAAGTAGCCAGAAAAAGAAAAAAGAAAAAGAAAAATACGGAGACAAAAAGCATCCCAGGCTCTGGGGTCTCCTGGCCCTGCCCCACAGGGTAAGGCTGTGACAGTGGCTGTTTATAGTCAGTGACAGATGTTCTGCCCTCAGGAAATCCCAACCGCAGCTATTGCTCAGTGTGGGGCCGGGGCAACTGTGTAATTGAGAAGTTATTTATTCTGCTTTCTTATTGATACATCGTGGGTTTTTTTTCTCATTCCCACTCAGCATTCAAGATGTTTCTTGACTTCAAAGTCCTAATTTTTCAGCAAAGAGATTTTGTGGTTTAAAACACCCCTAGCTGCGGAGTGTGGTGGTGCAGTTCTCTAATTCCAGGGCTCAGGGAGGCTGAGGCAGGAGGATTACCCATTGGATGGATTCCCGATTGTCAAAAGATAAAAGAAGCTGTCGATCAGTGTGAGGTCCTAGGTTAAAGCCCTGGTACCCAGGGAGGGCACTTCCTTGCCCCTTTTTTCTTATTTGTGCTTGTATTATAGCTGAGGAGCCCGAATCTCACCTCTACACTGTGTACCACACTAGCTGATGTCCCAGACAGCTGGTCACCACCGTCTCTTGATGTTATGTGGGCAGAATGGAAAGCTGATGGCTGGCTGATCCTCGTCACAGAGAACAAATCTTCCCTCTGTGAGCACCTTCCAGTGGAGCTTTAAATGCTTTAAAGTTACAAGGATTAAAAGAAAATCCCAAAACAAAAAACCCAAGCCTGATGGGATGAGGAACTGTTTACCTCCTCCACCTTCTGTGGGGAAATTGTTCATGAGTCCCTTTAAGGAGATACAGATGTAATGTGAGGGCCAGGGATATAGCTCGGTGGCACAAGCCCCTCTCTGGCGAGGTCTTGAGTTCGATTCCTGGCACCAAAAGTTTAAAAAAATTTAAGAATGTGCAATTAACACCTTGCTAGGGCCAGGGATTTAGCTCAGCGGTATAAGTGCCTGCCCTGCAAATACACAGTCGTGAGTTTGATCCCCGGTAAATAAATTAAACAACCTGCTAACTTAGTAACAGAGATTGCTTTTCAGTTTCCTGTTTAGCCCGATGGGGTAGTGGGTGCACTGTGATCCCAGCACTCAGGAGGCCGAGGCAGGAGGATCACTGTGAGTTGGAGGCCAGCCTGGGTGATACAATGAACTGAAAACATGCCTAAAGCTACATAGCGAGCCTGTCTCAAAAACAGAACCAAAACCAAATTAAATTTCTCCCTTTAAAATTCCCAGGCTCACTGATTAGTTTTTCTCTCTAGACAGAGCATTCTAAACAATGCCCAGCACACATTAGATAGTCAATGAAAAGAAACTCCTGAATGACTGTGTAGTACCCGGTAAGGTTAAAATGTAAACCGCCCTACTGATCAGAGTCTATCTAATCAGGCAGAGTTATCGGCAACAATTAATGGCCACCCCGTGGTGTAAGTCCATGTTGTACACAATCCTTTTTTGGGCTGGGCATGGTGGTGCAGGCTTGTAATTCCAGCACTGTGGGAGGCTGAGGCAGGAGGATTGCAGGGCGGAACCCAGGCTGGGTTACGGAGCAGCTTGGTGCAACCCTGTGCCAAGAAAACAAAACATTTCAAAAGGGCTGGCGGCAATGGGGTCACTGGGGACCTCTTGGCTGGCTCGCTGCTCCTTCCCCACTGTGGGGACCTGGGGGGTTCCCTGCACCTCCTCCCGGGGGACCTTGAACTTTGTTCTTTGTCTGCAGCGGGAAAAACTGCAGAAAGCCTGTCTTTCAGCCAAGTCCTGGCCACCAAAACCTGGTGGTGGCCGGGGCCAGAGGCTCCTGCTCCTGGGCTGCCGTGGGGGAGGAGAGATTCCTGGGGACCCTAGCTGGCCGCTGGCCCCAGGGTCACCCACTGGCTGCACAGTTGTTATTTTGCTTTTGGGGAGGGGGTACAGCATGATTCCCCTCTGCTTCCATTAAACACACACACACACACACACACACACACACACGCCCCTGTCTCTCCTTGGCACTGGAATTAGACCTCCAAACCCTCTGTTATCAGGGAAACAGGCCTTGGAGGCGCGGCGAATTCCCTGATAAACAGGTCGCCTGTGCCCGTTCCCCTAACGATGTCAGCACAGACGACCAACTTGCCACGGTGGGCCTGGGTGGTGCCGTACCTTGATCCTCCTTCCCCAAACTCCTGGTTCTGTTTTATGAATCGTACCGTCCTCCCGGTGATTACTTAGATTGTGTGCCCCGCCTGCTCTGCATTTTAATCTAAGTGTAACTGCAAAGAAAAAATGTAAATCTCTTCTATTCACTTTCAAAAGAAAATAAATGGATTTTTACGGCCTAAGGACCTGTTCGTTACCAATCATTTACCTTTCTTGGGAAGAGCAGTCTCTGTACCAATATGCTGGGGTGCGGCCTTTATTCTCCTCCTCTTCCCCTGCCTTGGTAAATCTGCCTTCATCTCTGCTGATAGGGGCAGCTGATCATAGGCAGAACCAGGATATAATTAATAGCGTTAAACAGAAAGCCAAGGTGGATGGAGAAATGGCAGGAGCATCCCTGTGTTTAAAACAAATCAGGACAAACAAACCTCAGACTGGGATTGCGTGCAACGCATTGTTTTTTTTTTTTTTTTTTTTTGGTCTTTTTCCTTTTTATCCTTCCCTCAGGGATCGAACTCACAACTGCCTGCTTGCAAGGAAGGCGCTTATGCCGCTGAACTAAATCCCCAGCCCCAGTGATTGCTTTCAAGACACCCCAAATGCAGACACCCACCCCGGTCATGGTTATGGATTAAATGGCACTGCAGAGCAGGCTGACCGGGTCTCTTGGTTCTCACCAGTTTAAGTCCAGATAGTAATCGGGGCTGTGTATGGTGACCTTGTTTAAATCGTGCTAATGACTGCTTACAGGACAGCAACAGCGGGGCGACTTAAACGTTTGCTTGAAGAAGGAGTTAAAAAAATCTTACACCAAGGTCCGAAATGTGCAGTTTCTCTCAGGGCTCCCTGAGGGGGTGGGAAGGCTGCTTCAGAAGACGGCCAGGAGGGGCCTGCGTGGTCCCCGGCCAGTGTGAGTCCTGGGCACACGCAGATCCTGCTCTGGATAAACCGTTCAGCAGGACGAGGAGCAGGGGTGACCCCTGGAGACCTAGAGAGGGAGGCTGGCCAGGCCAGGTGGCACCCACCTGTCATCTCAGCACGCAGGGGGCCGAGGCAGGACAATCTCTGCAAGTGTGAGGCCAGCGTAGGCCACATAGCAAGACTGTCTCAGAAACAAAATGAGGGCCAGGGATGTAGCTCAGCAGTGTCCCACCTGCCTGGCGAGTGCAGTGTCATGATTTCTGTTACCAAAGAAACAAACAAAAACAAAACAAAAAAATCAAAAAGAGGGAAGCTTTGAGGAACAGGCACTGGAGTGACACCTGCCTGCAGGGAGGCCTGATGGACCGCAGCGTTTTGGGGGCCTTTTATGAAGTGCTCTTTGCTTTACGGACGCAGCACATGACTGGGGTCAGATGAGGCGCCCGTGCGCCAAGCTTTACCTTCGCCACTGCTTTCGGGGTCCCAGGGCTTGGTACCTCACTGTAGTCACTCTTTGATTTATGATTTATGTGGGAGACTCCTGAGGCTGGAACCAAAAAGCACCCCGAGTCCTTGGCACCCACTACGGGGGCACCTTGTGTTCCGCAGATGGCTCCGCATGCGTGGAGGGAAACGGGGCTGCCGGGGCTTAAAATGCAGGGACCCCAGCCGGAGGGGCAGATTCTCCCGGAAACGTGCAGTGTTTTCTGAAAATCTCTTGTCCTTTAGGGTGCTGGGTGACCTGACTGGGGAGGGGGAAGGTAATGCATCTAATCCCTTTTGAAGAAAGAAAGTGATGTGAAAATCGGAACAGGCATGGGCTACCAATCTCAGCACTCAGGAGGCTGAGGCAGGAGGATCGCCTTGGACTACACAGTGGGTTCAAGGCCAGCCTGAACTACATAGTTACATCCCATACACTCACACACAAAAACTCACAAATAAATAGATTCCAGGCCACCAGGCCTGGCTCTATCTTCTGTCTTGATGTGTGTGTGTTAATGGCTTCAAGTAAGATGGCTTGCCTGTAAATTCCTGCACCTGGAAATTTGAGTGCTTTAGAACATCGTGTTTCAAGTTGGAGTTCATTCTTACAGAGATAAACACAATCAACTGGAGATGATGTCCCAGGGGGAAGATATTTTATAAAAGGTGAATAAACGAGCTGGATTGGTAACAGTGAGTAGTTGTTAGTCTTCCTGTGTAAAGAAGGGAGATTTGTCCAAAAATAGGCCTGAAATAATAGTAACAACAGCCTGGGCCTGACCTGCCGCTGTGTTCCTGCTGAACTCTGCTCAGGTTTGTATAAATTCAACTTGATTGTGCAGTCCACATTTGGGGGCTTTAACAAGGGGAGGAGCATTAAGAGACTGAAATGATCCAACTTATATCTCTCTCTCTCTCCCTCCTCTACCCCTTCCCCCCGGCCGGGCCACCAGCCTTGAATGTGCCATGTAGCACAGCCTGGCCTCTGATTTGCATTCTCCTGCCTCAGCCTCCCGAGTGCTGGATCGTGGGTGGGCACCACCGTGGGCAGCTTGCTTCTTGCTGTGCAGCCCTGTGCTCTGAGCAGAAGCCAGGGAGAGGTCCACACCCTTGGCACAAAGTGGAGAGGGTTCTCTGACCCTTCTCCTGCACTGCTCACCCGGCCAGTTTTGGGGGTGTCTTGGGGAGGATGCTCGACCAAGGCAGGGCTTCCAAGAGGGCAGGGGACAGAGAGGTTCAGGCCCCTGGCCTCTCACCGAAGGCTTCGTAGCCCAGGCAACAAGTCCGAATGAGAACTTCGTCTCTGTCTGCATTTTGTGTCTCCCTCTCTACTGAAATGAATGTGAACTTCAGAGCCAGCAGAGCAGCCAGGGGTGAGCCCTGGCCCAGCAGGTTGGAGGCCCGGCCAGCACAGCGGGGGACATGGGTGAGCCTTAGACTTACCGCCCAGCACTGTCCTGTCTGTGGTCACCTTCAGGCACTGGGCACTGTGGGCGGCTCTTAGGATCTGGGAGCCTTAGTTTTCAGGTCTGTAAAATGGGATGATGGTGGTAGTGGTTTCTGTCTAAGGAATAAATGAGTGGGAAACGTCTCCTCCCGTCCAGAAAGGCTGTCCCCATGCTGGACAAAACAATAAAGAGCGAGTCACTCTGTCCGCCTCCATCAGTGCGGAGCGGCCCTGGAGAAGGAGCTGGGTGGAGAAGCCAAAGTGGCTCAGAATCCTCCCTCACCAGTTAAGGCTGCGACCTGTGGATCCCGAGGCCTATTCCACCAGCAGCCGAGGCGGAATGGGTTTGGCCCGGGGAGCACTGGATGTTTTTGCAAGGAAGCAGATTTATCCACCAACTCGGGTGTGCCCTGGAAAAACAGGGGTCCCAAGTCTCGGGCTGAGTTGTAAGCTCTTGACGGTGATGGAGCCGTGAACTTTGTGAAGCCCTTGATTTTTGAGGGTGTTTCCTGGCTCTTTGGCATTTCAGTTTGGGATCTTTGGGTTAATTTTTTTTTCTCTTTAAAACGATTTTACCTACTTTTGCTGGGTTAATTTCCTTCTCTAAGACTGTGGCAATGGCTTCCAATGTTAACCTGCAGGGTACCAGGGCAGGAATTCCTGGTATCACCCGGATGAATGGGACTGGGACCCACAGACTGAGACCACTGACCTCAAAGAGAAATGTCTTTATTTGACCTGAGCTATAACAGTAATATTTACTTACCATAAAATACAATACAGATACAGAAAGATGAACCCTACCTACAAGGTAGAAATCCCTTCTCACGTCCTGCCAGCTAATTCTCATCAGGAGCTCATTCCGCCCTGCTGGAATTAAGGAGAAAAAGTTAAATTGAAAATTGCTGTAAGCTGGGCATAGTAACGCACACCTGTAACGCTCAGCACCCAGGAGGCTGAGGCAGAACGATCTCTGAGCATCTGAGGCCAGCCTGGGCTATAAAGTGAGTTCAAGGCCACCCTGAGCTACACAGCAAGATCCTGTCTCCAAAAAGACGAAAGATAAAATAAAATGGACATAGCAACACCCTGTCTCAAAAACCCAAAAAATCAATTATAGAATCAAATCAAATTGCTGTTTATTTCCTTACATCCCATGTGGTACAAGCTATGCTGTATGATTTAAGAACTTTGAATTTCCCCGCCTCCCTCCAGCTCACACCCAGGGCCTTGTGCACCCCAGCCTCTGTTACTCTTCTGTGGTTTGCTGGTTTTGTGAAAATTCAGCCCATGAATCCTGGCAGGGGCCGAGCAGGTCCTGTCTCAGGGCTCAGGTGACCGCCGCTTGCCCATCCGGGCTCAGGCCGCTCCCAAGGACCTGCGTGGTGAGGTGGGCGCTGTTTCAACTCTGAGGCTGCACCCCCAGCTGTCCTGCTCGCCCCCCGCCCGCTGCCCTCGCTGCTGGCCTCTCCTGATGGTCCCCTGGATGTGGGGCGCAGTGCCAGGCACCTGGGCACCCAGAGCGCTCGGGAATCTGAAGTGGGGGAGCGGCGGGTCCAGCCTCGGCTCCTCCCATGGATTCCCTGGGGGCCCTGGACAGCACTGGACGACAGCGACCTAGGGACCAAGTGTCACAGCACCCGAGTCTGTGCACCCTCAGGGGTTGCCATAAGGACGTGCGATTTCGGGGTCCAGCTCTGAACCTTGATCCTCCCCCGGCTAGGAGAATTGGGGGACTTGCTGGGGTGACCCGAGGGAAGTGCTGTGGGTCTAATGTCCTTTCCTGTCCCACCACGGCCTTGGTGTCCTCTTTTCTGAGTTACGGGGCTAGCGCCTGGGTGTCCTGTGCGGCTCAGGCGACTCTGAGCTCAGAGGGGCAGTTACTTGGCTTCATTCTCTACTGTGGCATCTTGAAATTCTGAACAATTTTTCAGCAAAGATCCCTGAATTTAGCCGGGCATTGTAGCACTTGCCTGAGGTCCTGGTGCTCGGGAGGCTGAGGCAGGAGAATCACCATGGGTCTGAGGCCAGCCCAGGCTCTGTAGTGAGTTCAAAGCCAGCCTAAACCACATAGCGAGTCCCTGTCTCAAAAACAAACAAACAAACAGACAAATGGGAGCTGAAACCCAGAATCCAGAAGAATAAGCAGAGGGCCGCACACGGCTGCGGCTCCTGTTCATAACCAGGCGCTGTCAGGAGCGTGGATTCCTAGAACGGGACTTCACAAGGTACTGGGAAGATCCAGGCTGAGTTAGAGCTCATGTCTCCAGTGTTAATTCATTATTTAAGTTGTGGAGACGGGGTCCCCTGTGTATTTCAGG